ATATTTTATTTTATTTTATTTTATTTTTAATTTAATTTTTATAAAATTTCAGTTGGGAAACATAAAAATTTGATGCGTTCGAAGTGCCTTACAACAGCGTTGCACAAAATAGTGATATGCGCTCATCGACAAAAACTCGATTAACAGTGAAAAAACGACGCTTTATATATTTTACTTAGTTTTATGTATTTCACTTTCTCTCTTTGGTTGCTTATCACAGTAGGAGAAATTAATTATAATTTATTATGTGTAAATTTTAATATTTCGTAAATATGTAAATGTTAATAAGAGTTTATTAGTCACACTTAAAAACTAAATAAAAAACTTACGAATATTGTGTTAATACAGAAACTTCGGCACGAAAATTAGGAAACACGAGTAAAAGGTTATTAATAGACATTCAGTCGTGTAGTATTTATAAAAAAATTTGCAAATTAAAAATGTATAAAAAATATTTAAAAACTATTAAGCTTAATTTCTTGTCTTCTGATTAGAAAATATACGTGTAGTTCAGATATCTCTTGCACTAAAAATCAATACATACACACAAAGATTCATAAAACAGGTAGAAAATATAGAAAAGTAATTAATCTAGTTGTTATGTAGCTAGTAAAGAGTGAAACGTTGTGTTTTATTTTACATAAATTAATTTTAAATTGATTTTCTTAAATTTTTTTAAGGTTTTTTTTATTTGCCAACTATGAGCTGTTGTTGCTGCCGCTGCCGCATTCTCCGCCGGCAGTACTCACCTCGTGACGATGAAATGCTCTCTGGGCCGTGTGTCTTATTAAAAGATGTCTCACTGAGCGGTGCAATCACATTACTTTCGACATCGAAAACGTATGGACTGTTCGGATGTTCCTCCCAACGTTCGATGAAATTCTTTAAATTATCCTTGGTAGTGTCGAGCTCCTTGATCTGCAAAAATCGGAGGTACATATTGTTTTTGTTTTTATTATTTCGTTAAGTATTTACTTGAACTTAATAAGTTGAAAATCACATTACTTAAATATAAATATTTAGCAAAAAAGCTTTCCAAAATACTTTTCACTTAATAAACACTTTATGAATCCTTGATATACAAAGCAACACTTTAAAGTTCAGGCAATGAAGTCAAACGTCAACCTGGACAGCAAGAATCAACAACGTCCTGAGTAGCAGTAATGGCGATGGAGATATAGCCAAGAGATATATCATCAAGGCTCTCATTGGCCGTAGTAACCTTCTGGAAAAATATCACAATAACGCTGGAGGCTAGTAAAGTCTAAACGGCTAGAGACTCTCGGTTCGGAAAATGACGTGAGGTATTGGCAAGGACACCACGACCTAGAAGATCTTGTGTATCTCTATGATGGTTCCTAACCCCGACGGCCCAAGATGTTATCAGGCTTTCTAATAAAAGCTAAAAGTTTCTTGCTAGACGAAATGCTGACTTTAAGGGCATCGACTGTAGAAGAAATGAAGTATTGCAGTCTTAGTTGGTCTAATGCTGGACAATCACACTTATTGTGCTCCGACGTGTCCTCATCTTCAAGGCAAATACGGCAATCTGTATCTGTGGAAAGACCAGTCTGGTGCATTTGAGGGCGCCGGTGATTATGACCGGTTAGGTAACCAATAAGCAACTTGATTTTGGATTTCTTCAAGAGATTTATATATTTCCCAGCAAAAGGTTAACCAAGAAGCCTGGCTTGTCTAAAGCCCCTAGCTCTCCGCAGTACTAACTGCGTTCTGAGTTTTCGCATGCTTCGATTATGAGCATCGTGGATGACCAACTGAGTCCAGAGAACGGTTGCTGCCCACAAGTACACAGCATGAGCGCTCCTTAGCTAATTCCTCGGCAACCTCTTTACTTATGACCCCGCAGTGTCCTGATATCCTTGATGCCAAGTGTTGGAGAGTGCCAAAGCACTCTTTCACGAGCCTGCAGGTGATCGTCCTTTTAGGGCCCTAATGACTGCCTGACTGTATGAAGAGATAACTAGAAACACGCATTTTGAACCCTTTTCATGGTTTAGTCTGGCTATGAGACTGCTAGCACCTCGGTCTGAAAGACTATGGACCAAATACCCATGGAAATAAAAAGTTTGCTGCCAGGTCCAAAGGCACCTGCACTGCCCTGTATCTTTGGTCGGTCTGTACTCACCTCGTCTGGGATATAATTCAGGTATACTATTTGACCAAACTTCTCGGTCTGGAATTTCGCGCTTGAATTTATTGGCAGCGTGTACCTGAGTCTGATGTCGTTTGTTTTTCCAGACACAGGATGTGTACCCGAATGAGGAGGACCTTGTATCGAAAGTCTCCCTAAAATTAAGCTCATTAGATGCGGAGAAGGGCGAACTGAAGTCATTATTACCGGCTTGAGGAACCTGAATAGCCAGCTGAAGGTTTTGCGCGTAATATTTTTTTTTAAATACATAGCTCTACTGGAATAATAAAAATACTTTTTTAGCAAAAGTTTAATTTACTGACATTAGGATGGTATGTTAGGGTGATAAGAACTGAGATCTGGTAGGTAAATATTAGAACTTGGTACTCTAGGCCAATAAAATATGAATAAAAATTGTCACCTCGGTACAAAAAGACTGATATATCATACTTTGAGCTTCGACTGTACTTCGACGACCCTACGTTTGGCAAAATTTTTTTTTGCAATTGCTTTGCAGAAATACTTTAGATTCAGGGGTGTACGGTGAAATTTTTTCTGGTACATTTTAGTTTACATATGCATATCTGGTACATTTTAGTTTACGGTGGCCGACAAAAGTCTACGCTAGAGAGTTTTTCGCTATGAATGCGAAGTATTTTACTCTAATTTATTTTAGAGTGTTTTATAAAAATATAGTTTAAACTACAACAAAAATTATAAAAATAAAATTTATAAACTTTTTTCACAACTCAGCAAAATTCCATTAATTTGCATACGAATTTGCATCTTTTTAACTAGATTTTCTAGAAAGATCTCGAGTGGGTTTTTGGCAAATTTTTTTGTTATCTATCTAGAAGATCGAATTAAAAAGTTGCAGATTTGTATGCAAATTTACACGATTTTCCTGTCTATAAAACATCGGCAAAAAGAAATTAGAGTAAAAAATTTTGCATTAATAGCATTCTGTACACTTTTGTCGCCTACTGTATTTTTCATGATATTTTACCTCGTTGAAATTCCTTCAACAAATTGCTGAAATTTTAATATTTGTGCCTTTAATTAGAAGATCTCTAGAGAATTTATAATATGAAAAGTATTCTCTCAGTTGCAAAGGCAAAATTGGATTTTTATTTTTTTTCTAAGTTTTCTGCATTTGACAAGGTAATTAAAGCATTTAGGGGAGAAGAGAAGAAGCATCATCTGCAATGGAATTCCACTAAGAAAATTATAAGTTGTATGCTGAAAGGTTCAGGAAAACGCGGTACATTGTAGCGCCACGAATATTTTTAATTTCTTAATCAACAGCTAATTTGTGCCATATTAGTTAAAAAATTAGGTAATTCTACCACGATTCTTACACGCCATAAAAACACTTAAAAAGTACTTTCTCGACTGCTCAATTCGCGCTCAAAATCAGCAGAAAGACAATTGTGGAATCAAAGTCGCGTGAAGAAAATCAAAATTGTTGCATAGCATCAAAGTAGCTGCGGCTAATGAAATTAAGCAATTCAAGGTGGGGAGGTTATCTAATTAGAAGAGTGAAATGAGCAAAGTGCAAAAAAAAAGCATAAGCTGTCAAAGTAAGCTTGGCTGCCTCTGCGACAACCCGTTTGCGAAGAAGAAGAAAAAAAAGAAACGTTTCTCACCTGAGATGAGAACAACCCATTTTGTTGGCAACAAATGCGCCACAATGTTGGATTAATTAATTTTGTAAATTTGTAAATTTGTTGCTCGCCTTTGGTTGAGACAGTCAGCGTTAGCCTTGACGACGTGTGAAGCTGTTTTGTGCATAGCATATTTTCAGATATAATTCACTTACCTCTGCCGTGTTCGCACTTGGCGTCAGGGCTGCTTGCTTTCTAATTGCCTCTCTTTCTATCTTCCCTTCTTCTTGCTCTATTTTGTCCGCTTTCACGGCCGCTTGCTCTTGTTTATGCGCTTTTTCTTCTCCTTCTTCATGTGGTGGCACTGGTGAGGGTGTGGCCGCTTTTAATTTTAGTGGCGGCACATTTGCCGGCTTTTCCACGAGTATTTTTGGTGGTTTGGGTCGACGTTGCAGCCATTTGTGCTCCAGACACTGTGCGGCCGTCATGCGGGTACTGGTGGTGGGTGAATAAGGGTGAAAATGTGACAGTTTTATTAATGATTTTAATTTCAATACATATTGTACATAAACATTTAAAGCGGGTTTCCGTTATTTGGTATTTTAATATAAAAAGTAATTTTCTGTATACTCTACATTCATAGATACATATTTTATTGCGAATATTTAATTACTTTTAAATTATATGACTCTTAAACTAATGCGTGCGAGCAAACGTAGTAGCTGACTGAGTATGGTGCTACGGGGCGTATACGTTACATACACAACTACGGGTTTATGAGCACGAGTTGTTATTTCTAATTTTTTTTCGTATATCTTTCTTAAGTTTTCATTTAAATATAATTTTGCGATGGAATCTTGTTCCAAACAAACGCAAAACGGAAGATAAAGCATTGTGTAAGTAAAATAAGTGCACCACAATTTTTGACCAAAAACACGTTTTTGTCGAAAAATCTAACAACCCGTGAGATTTGCTAATATACGAGCGGCTTTATTCAAACCGACAGAGAAAAGCAGCCAGAAATCTGCAAATTTACTTCAACAGAAAGTCTGACGAAGTTAAAAATTATAGCACGCAGTTTTTATCCCTTTAGAAAATATTTCGTCGTTTAAAGTAAAAAACCGCGTATCGTCATTATTATTATATATATTATAATTTAATTTAATTTAATTTAATTTAATTTAATTTAATTTAATTTAATTT